GCCATTCGACCACACAGGATTGTTCAAATCTTTAGTGGAAAGGGTTTTCCCCACAAATTTTCATCCAATTTCATAGAAAGATAAGCCAGGTAGCAAACCATTGTAGTTTACATAGCAATAGGTTGGTTGTGGAACACTGTATCCCGCCCTCAAAATAAAACCATGTAGTCGATTTTATATTCTCACTCTAATGTTGAGACACTAGTAATTCATCAAATTGGAGGCAAGAGCCAGAACAAGAATAGATATGAAAAGTCTTTTGAGTGGGTGTGGCTTTTTAAACAGAACAGATGGTTTTACTATTTGATGCAGCAATTTAGCAGATATGAAGTTGTCAGGGATTTAACAAATCAAAGCTTCCTGATTTCAAGTAATAGAGGTGTTCTTACATCGGCTAACTGGGGCTTCCTTTACCTAAAAGTAAAAAACTGCCCATACTAATGAAATTCCACAAAATTTTCCAAACCTCAATTCTCATGTGAGTTTAGTGAGGTGGCACATAGGCACGCCAACACAGAGACCACAAAAGATGAACAATAACGAAGAGATCACCGAACACATACAATTCAGGAAAGTCAACTATTGAATGAGAACAGAAAAAAGTCGCCAATACAACCCCCCCCCCCTTTTCCATAAGGCACCTCTCTGACCTCACAACCACAGAGGATAGGAAAAGAGACTCTGCAAATTCCAAATCATACACATAAAGGATGACTAAGTACTTGAGCTAAAAAGTACAAATTTCACTGTATCCCATATACAAGAGCAAATTGAGATTTATGGTCTTTTATATCCATCAAACATGTAACTAAATTCCTTAAGATTGTTAACCAAATGTCCATAACTGAATGTAATGCACTGAGTCATAATGGGAAGACCTTGTAAAATGGCAGTATAATTCTTTCAAGCTTTTGGAAACTCATGTGCCTGCAGGAACCAAATAGTCCAGGTCAGATAGCGGATAAATGCCTTCCGCCCCAAAAAGAAATGGTCAATTTGTTCCTAGCATGGTTTGTGTTGAAATACAAAGATGTTTAAGACTGGAGAAGCAAAATAACTAGTTGACCTTGGTATCTTTTGGGAGTAGAACACATTAAATTTCAACTCAAATCTTAATTTATGATAATTTCTGAAATAATCGCTCAAAAGCAAAGCTTGAACAACAAAAGCGAGTAAGAAGGTTCATTCAGGCAATAGTATCCAAAAGAACAGCCTCTTTTTCTAACATGTAACCACAGTTGTGCAAGAATGCCTCCACTATTGAGCAAGATACATTATCCCATAGAACATTCAATTCCTATGCATACACATGCAGACAAGTACATCATATGTTTAAGTGGAAGCCTAGCAGTGGACTTCATCAGCTTCTACATTAACGTAAAGCACACATACAAAAACAAAGAATACATGTAATGATACTGCATGCATTATGATATATTTAACTGGCTCCGGGTAAACCTTAACAGTTGAGTTGAAGGATCCATCTATCAAGAACATATTAATGTCATCAGAACAATCATAAGTTGAATATCAAAGAATAAAGAGAAAACAAGGATGACCATCTTCCTCTGTTCTACCAAACAAGAAGCCATAAATTCACATGTCCTATCAAGAAAAATTAATTAAAGTTGGAGGGTTCATCAACAAGATGGTACTTGCTAAAGTCATTCAAACAATGAAAAATTAGAGATCAAAGAAGAAAGATTAAACAAGGACAACCACTTTCCTGGTTTCATTATCTGTTCTATCAAACAAAGAGCCATGGATTGCCATGTCCTATCAAGGAAACTTAATTTACACGTATCCTCATATGAGATCAGCACTAAGCCACCATTAGGAGTCCTTGGACCCCTCCCCTCCGAATGTCTACAATTACTGAATCTGTGATCATGCAGAAAAACATTGCAATGCTCACGTGACATCCAACAAATTGTGCAAAAGGGTAACCTTTGGTTCATGTAAAACATTCAGCGACTGATAATCCTATCACAAATAGAACCCAATCCCTCTGATTCAAACAAAGGCAACAACAAAATGAGAACTTCATATTAAATGAAAATGCTATACCGAGCAATGCCTTTTGACTCTGGTAAACCAAAGCATTAAAAATACCTAAAAAAATAGGGAACATGTTCAAATGGTTGCTGTAGTTTAATTAGTCCTGAATTCCCAATGTTCATTCAGAGGAAAGCAAATGAAACGTTACAGAAAATATTCACTCTTCACCATTCAGCATCAAATAACCACGCCAAAAAGGACTAAAGAAAGAAACAAGCCAAATAGTACTAGCATGTCATCGAATTAATTAAAATTGAATTACAGGAATCATTGCGGAACTTCAAGAATAATAATAATAATAATAATAACATACAAGGGAAGAGAATACTAGAGCTCTGGAGAAGTGCAGCAGAGTGTACCCTGTGAAAGAGCCCTGCAACTCCTGGATGTTGAACTCAGGCACGACGTCATCCTCGCCGTCGCAACCGCGCTGTGCAGCGGTAGCATCGACTGCACCGCTCCCAATTCCGACGGAGCCCTATTGATTTCATTTCAAAAATTTTAAAAACAGTTTTCTTAAAAAAAAAAAGAAGGAAAATATCTTAAATAAGATGCAAAGAAATGGTAAAATAATCTGAACAAATAAAAGCAACCTGGCGAGGGAGAAACGGCGGAGGAATGACGTGGTGGCGTTAGTGGATTTTGGAAACGACGTCGGAATGGATCTGTTAACCAGAGAAGAAGAAGAGGAAGCTGATTTATTGAAGGAGGATTTGAGGGATGAAATTGTAGCCCTATTCATAATTCTGCTGCTGCACTTCGATGCCATTAGGAAATGGAGTGAGATCTGAAGTGATGCGCTGCCAAAAATATGAGCGAGCTGAGGAAGAGGGCTTATAGAGTTTGTAGTTTACATTTTCCCCTTTGTAGATTTTTGCGAGGGTTTAGGGTTTAAGTTTTTTCGTGAATGGCCCCGTAGAAAGTGCAAATATTTGTAACTGTCCCTCATGTTTGTTAAAATTGTGCTCAGGCTTCCCCAGCTTCCTCCCCAATGGCATGGGATTTTTTTTTTCCCCTTGGTTTATAATAGTAGTACAAGATTACAAGTTACAATTGAAACCCAAAATGGTAAAATTAATGCAATTGATAAAAGCAAGAAGCCATATATAGCAAACTCAAAATAATGGAGGAGGAATGTGTTGGGTGATTTATGAGGAAGGAGTGTATGTGAAAAGTTCCGAATTCGAACTCTCTCATTCACACTTAAAAAAATTTTCTTTTAAACAATGGTTAGCAAAAGCAATTATGCCCACATACATTGAGACAAATATTTGTGGGCATGATATTTGTCTCAATGTATTTGTCACAAAATTTATCCTCTACTTCGTACTTTTCTATTCTAAAATTACTTAGAAAAAAATGCAAAAACGAATTTATTAGGAATTTGGAGTTTAGGATAACTTCAACCATCAATACCTTTTTTTTTCTTTGAATTAATCTTATATACATTAACAATGCATACACTATCACAATTGGATCCTTAACAACAAGAAAAAAATTGAATTTTAATTTAAAATTTAGATCAGTTATCAATCATTCAACAGTAATAGTACGTACATTGTGAGTTTATAATTCTGTACACTTTCAGTGTATATAAATTTAATTATTTTTCTTTTATTTTCTTTTCTTTTTGTTAGATCGAATGGATATAGATATTATTACCCTTAAACAGAGCAACTACTGATTCTGAATCGATATTTGAACAAGATAACCACGAAATGATCTTGGACCCCTAATAGCAAAGATGGGGTAGATGACATCCCATAATCTTGGACAAATGCAGGTACTTCTCCAATCCTTATCTGACTCGTGCCAAAACGCCTGATTACCTTTGTGGGTCATAGATACGTGTACCACGTGGCACGGCCACACGGGGCACCCAAATTTTGGCATGTGACCTTCCAAGTAAACTATTTTTTATTATCCGTTATACTAAAAATTTTTCTCCATACAACATTTTGGTACATAATTTTTGGAGGTTATGTATCTTAGAGATATGTACATATTCATGCTTCAGGCCTCAAAATCAAAAGTAAGTTTCAAACGGGAAAGATTTTTATTTTTATTTTTTAAGTTTCAAACGGGGGAAGAAGAAGGAAAAAGAAAAACAGAAAACCAAAACAAAACAAACCCTCAAAAATGACACGTAGCTGTTGGACAAGGACCATAAGCGAAGCTGTCCGTCCAACCCAAATCACAAGGACTATAAAGTCCATAACTCAAATCACAATCCAAGACGGTACCTTTTTTTTTTTTTTTTTAGTAACAACAACAATTGTATAACTTATTCTAACCTAATCTAAAAGAAGAAGAATTCAACGGAAAAATCCATTCAAAAGAACCCAATCGAAGGTGGCAACCACAATCCAAAGACGGTGCTTGCTGGATCATTTTATCAATCCCTATTTAAGTTTGATTAGTTCATTGATGACGCATGATTGGATTAATTATTTTATATCATCTCATATTTAATTGTATTTTATACACGAGATTACATATTTCAACTAATTGAATTAATTCTCAATTCATGCGATATAATAATTTCATGAAAAGGTGGTATTAGTCATCTTAAAATGACTAAGACATAAGATGATGAACTTTTAAATCAATTTATCCTTACAAATAATATAAATTAATACTCTTATAATTATATAACATTACCCGCATGCATTAATATAACATGAATGGACTAGTCAGTGAGTTATAGCTTTCTGCCTTTCTTTATCTCCGGAACACACACTTCTAGAGTCCTACGTCAAGCAAAAGAGATCTTTGCATAGCCTTAGCATTTGTATCCATCTTCCAAGTTCCTTTCTTTCTTATACCCTGTTTCCGAGCCTCCAAAAAGTTCCTTGCTTTTACAAAGGTAAATAATCAGCCTTCTCTTTCATGTTTTCACGGCATTGTCTTCCAATTTGGTCTAAGAACACAAGAATGATTCTTTTGAAAGATGACATCCCACGATGCAAAAGAATGTTCTTTACTTCCTTTTCAGTGTAAACAATTTTTTTTCTAAAAAATTTCAACATCAAATAAAACCTATAAGTATCAGATAAAGAAAAAGCAAAAAGGGCCAAAAAGGAAAAACCTATGCAATCATAATCACAACGAAAAAATGAAAACCACCATGACCAAAAATACAGTGGTCCACTTGGAAAATCTTCTTCTTTCCATGTAAATGCTCCGACTTGAGGAAATATCCGATTCATATAAAGAACTGTACTTGAAATTTGGGTTTGACCCGTATAAGGCCTGGATCCCTTCCACGTCATCAACTCTTAGGTCCACTTTCTTAGTCCTAGGACTCAAACTTGGGTACATGACTGCGTCCTTAACCGCCGAGTGAGCCAACCCAAGTATGTGCCCGATCTCATGGGTCGCCACTGATTCCAAATCAACCGCCACCTTTGACTTCTGTTCTTTGAAATCGACGGCCCACGCTTCAGCACCGTCCAGGTGGAGCCTTCCATTTTCCGGCGAGAAAGCGTGTGCTAGCACTCCCAACACCCCGTCAAACGGCTGTCCGTCCCCGTGATCCCCCCGGTACCACCCGATTTTTATGTTGGCTGAATAATAGTCGTCCACCTCTGTGAAGTTCACCGGAATCACCGACGACCACCGGGCGAAAGAGCGTTCAAAAACAGCTCTTATATCAGCCGAACTTATATAGTCTATGGTATGATCCGGCGAGAAAGCATATGTCAAAATCATGGGAGATGATCTATCCCACCTGGGCTCACCGTCAAAATATGCATAGTGAATTTTCGCATGCAACTTCTGGGCCGCGCGACTTTTTTCGTCGCTAACGCCGCACCTGGGCGACGTAATTACTTTCATGGTATCAGAGTCGAGCCTTCCAGTCGCGGGTAATCCAAGGTTTTTCTGATACTGGAGCACGGCCGATTCTAAGTCTTCGTCGAAAGAATCCGTGAGGTTTTGGTTTGGGATTGATAGGTAGCCGAAACGTTGGAAGTACTTCTTGAGCTCCGACATGCCCCTGAGTTGGCTGCCCTTCTCGGCGTCCAGGAATCTCGTGAAGCTGTGCCACGTGGCGTTGCTGTTGGTCCGGACATCGGCAGTTAATTCAGTTGAAGGGTCAATAAGCTTTCTGGCGGGAAGACACGGGACAAAAAGGAGGAGGGCGAACAAGGAGAAGAACACAAATGTTTTTTTTTCATAATAATAACTGAAAAACGGCAACATGATGATTACTTATTTGGAGGTCGGAGGTGGCAGCCCTTTTGATTTCGTGGGGGGGAGAGATTGGGGAGGCTTTATTAACAGTACTATGAAGAAACAATTTAATTACCGTCTACCAAACAAACTTTGTTTACTATTCCAAAGGAAGAGACCATGGCCTGGTTTTGAATATTACTATGCAAATACCACTTATTTTTGGTCCGTATCGAGGGAGAGCATATATAGCTCGAAGACAAGATCATTGCATAAGTAATAACTTGGAGAAAGTTTAGGAAGATTCTTCCGTGTGGATGTGAGTCTTTTCAGTTTCCGATTCGGACTTAATTTGATCGAGGGTGTAAAACTGTTCTGGTGGGTGAACCACCGGCTGTTTTTTTTTTTTTTTCCTTTCCTCTCATGGTCTGAATTTTGATGGTAGTAGACTAATTAAGCCTTGGACCATGATTGTTTTTTAGGTGGACAGGAAAGTGGATCCACTTTATTCTATGATTTGTTGTTGTTTAGGACTAAAATTCTGTGAAACTTAGTTGTGAAATTGATTAGTTTGTTGACCAAATTAGTTGATATTTACGTCATCAGAAGTTTGCTTGTACGATGCGATGATCGATCTTAGAACATATGTAGACTTTGGAGAGGGGCCAAGCTTCTTTTCTGGAGGAAGACCAGAAAAAAAAAATATATATATATATATATATATATATATATATATGTGCTGGATGAACAAAATATCAATTAATTTACAATTTAAACGTGGTTCATGTTTACTCTAATTTCTCAATCATCTAAACTTTTAACACACAATTACAAATCAAAGTTGGTAAATATAACTGTGGACAAGGATTTAAACTGTTTAATTGTGGTGGCTATGTCTATGTGTCAAGATTTATCCATGCATTAATTAATTTACACGTAACGAGTATTTTCTTAATTTTCAATTATTTTGAACTTAGGAAAAACATGATCGGGTGCCGGAAAGTTTAAAAACTTATTTAGCGAAGGTTATAACCAAGTAATCTAAATCTATTACGAATTTTGGCTAAGGTTGAGGGTTCAACACCTCTAAGTTGTGTGTTCTAATTTTTTTTTTTTTTTTTTGTCCTTTGTTTTTAAATCTCGTTTTTTTTCTTGTTAGCAATTTTTTTTTTTCAAAAAAAAAAAAAAAAAATCTGTTATATACGAATGTGGCTCGTAATAGAATTGATATATGTTTTTTCTTCTTCTTCTTCTTCTTCTCCTCCTCTTTGGGTAGAAGTGATTTTTGGTAATTCGATAAAAGAACGAGAGAGACGTTAAAGGTCCAACTCTTCTTTAGTTTCGCTTTCGCTTTGCAAAGAAAGGAACCAATAGGGACGAGTCGTCTGACGCAGCAAACAAAGGGTCCATTTTCTAGTCTAGTCTTAATTCCTAATTTTGATTGCTTCAAAATAGACTTTTTCTTCTCATAGGAAACAACAATGCAATCTAAATTGTCAGGTCAATTACGCAAATGTACGTTGATTTCGTTCCAACATACAGACTTCTATTCCCACCCAACAGAAATATAGGACGAAAACTGTACATAATTACCTTGGAAAAATTCCCCCTCTTCAAATCCATATCTAAGAAAACAGGCCTAACACTTTTAATCCTAACATAGTATAAATAAGTATAATACTTTTAAGTGAATAACTAGTTGAGTCTAGGCGGTCCAAACGAATCGAACCGCTCGCGAGCTTGATTCAATCTCGACTCGAGCTCAATCGAGCTAGCCGAGTCAAATTTGAGTCCGAACTCGAGTTCAAAAGATTAAACTCGTTAATTTGCGAGCCGACTCGCGAGTTTAAATATATTTATATATTTTTTTAATTTTAATAGTAAAATTACATATATATCCTTAATATTTTATTATTTATTAAAAAAATATTATTTTATTTATTTTTTAAAAAATAAAATAATTACTTTTATTTTTTCAAGCTCGAGCATCAGAATTGTCAACTCGTCGAGCTCGAGTTCAATACAATTACATCAAGACTCGACTCGATTAGGTCAAAATTCAATTCGACTCAACTCATTTGCAATCCTAGGTTGAGGCTGTGACATTTTAAAAGGAAGTTGTTTAATAATTCTTGCTCAAAGAAAATACAAGAAGTAGTTGACAAAATATATGCTGACATTAACTAATTTGAATATTTCAAGGCTAATAAGAAAAGAGAGAACGGTTGATAGTTTGATCCAAGAACAATGCTAAAGAACAAGAAGGACCACTTGTTTTTGGCAAGCAGAAAATTTATCATCATGATGATCGTAAAATTTTCGATGAGTCCAAGCCGGCAAGGCATGTTTCTTCTCGGCGATTACTACTATGACCCCCTCCCCCTTCCCGCCCCCCAAAACAAAAAAAAATGAGATGATATGTTTGCTTTCAGCTCGCCGGCCTTAGTAATTGGCTCCTTGGGCACAAGTAAGGGGTTCGAAATCCCTTACCCACATTTTCCATCAAAGATTTTGTAGAACATTTTCAGAGCTAATTTAGTTCTCTTCGAATTTTCAATAGTTTAGTTGGATCAATCTTCATCCCTCTTCCTGTTCCTCCTAGTATAGGACCAATTATAAGAAATGTTGTATTAAGAAAAAAAGCTTGCTGGCTTCCCGCGTATTTTCCTGTTTCTAGTTATTTATTTATTGGTTCTCTGTAAGTTTGAGAGGAATGGCTTGCTTCTTAGTTGTTTAATTCTTGGCTTCTCGTTTCTGTTTCTTTTACTGCTATGTAATTTAGTAAGGCTTGAGATATCGTTCCCGAATTCCTGGGATTAGTAGTTCCACTAAACATTAGTTTCTGGCCAGCTCTTTTGGAAAATTAATTTTTTTGTTGTCAATGCACATAATCAGTTTAGGATGAATTATGACCGTACATGATCATGTAGGATCAATTAGGATACTTTAGAGGGTTAACTTATCTAGATTTTTGTCTAGAATCAAAAGAATCATTTAGGATCAATTCATCTAACAGTTGTTGTGATGGATTGTCCAAGCCAGCTTGAGCCATTGAGATGATGCTTTGAGATTGAATTGTGCTTATTGGTCATTGAACAGTTTGTGCTACTGAGCAAGTTGTTTCCTCCTGCTAAAATTTCCTCCATATTCTTATATCACCAGAAATTTGAGGATAGCAGGTTGGAAGTTTCTACTGAGCAGGAGCTGCCTAAAGAATCGAAGCAACGTTGCAGGAACAGGAAGCTGCCTGGAGACATTATCATAAATGTGTTACCTTCCAAGGAACTTTGTAGGTTCGAGTGCGTGTCGAATCTCAGGTATAAGGATGTATCTACCTGTCGTTCTCGAATATGGAAATCCTCCCCAAGGATGGTAGGATTTTTTTTTGTCAGAATATTACACAATTAAGTAAGCCGGAGATTTATATGCTTAGTTCAAGTGAGAAGTTTGGTTCAAGGAGATCAGTAGATGGAACTAGTTTGGATGAGTCTGCTAGATTCTCCTTTGAAGTCCACAGATGAGGAAGAATTTCATCCAGTAACGCAACATAAACTGTGCAGTATTGTAGAAAGCAGAGAATTTTAATGGAAAAAAATGCATAGAATAATCCAGCAGCAAAACAGAGCCTAGCCCTTCAGAGACCTCAATATTGCTGCAGAAAGTTGGTTCTAGGATTTTCATGCAGGGCAGATGACCTTGGCCGCCCTGGCAATGATCTGATTTTCTGTACGATAGTTCGTGGTGGGATACATGGCAAGCTCACCAAAATTCCCATCGAAACTAATGTTTACCAAAATTCGCATAGAAACTTTCTCTTCTGAAACTAGTGCATGGACTACAATTCATGTCAGACTTGATGTCCGGTTGACCATCCTGCGGTTGAAATAGATGGAGTTTTCTTTTGGTTAGACAAAACACATGAAATTGTGGCCGTTGATTTATATTCACCAGTTTCTGGAGTCTAGAGAGCAATTTTCGTTGCCCAAATCCAGAATGGCTAATCGAGTATGAAATAAACATCTTTGGCGTAATCGGCTCGAGTTTCCAGAAATTTTCGGACCAGCAGATTTATTAATAAACTTAATCCCGTTGGCATTTCATCCTTATAATAGCTCCAATCATAAGTAATATCCTTTGACATACGTAACGAGACAGTGGAATTCTTGGATGCGTCTCTCAATCTTTCTTCTTTTAAACTAGGGGTGTGCATCAAATTCAAATTCGGTAATTCAGAAATTTGAATTCAGAATTTTTCGAAATTTTGGCATAGAAATTACCGATCGATTTCGATTTCGAATTCAGTAGTTTCGATTTTGATTTCGATTTTGAATTCCGAATAATTCCATTCGGAATTCGGTAAATTCCGAATTGACCGAATTCGAAAACCTTTTTTTCCTTTTTTTTGTTAGATGTATTGTTATATAATATAAAATTTATATTGCATATATTATAAAATATATAAATATATATTAATATACATATTATAAAATGAAATTGAAATAAAAATATTATTATATAAATAAATAAATATTAATATATATATATATTATAAAACGAAATTGAAATCGGAAATTCCGATTTAAAAAAACTCCGTTATCGAATTCGAACCAAATTCGCATAATTCGAAATCGAAAATTCCGATTTCAATGCCGAATTCCGAATTACCGATTTTGAAAATTCTGCACCCTTACATAGTTTTTTCAAACTCGGACCGAGAACCGACTTAGCCAAGTTCAGGAATTAAGGTTTAAATCGGATCGATAGGAGGTCGAATAAAAGGAATGACAACGTCTTCTTCCGCCACTAAAGCAAGTTCGATTACCACCTTTTGTTTGTAAATTTATTTAACGAGAAACTAGCAGTCGAGGAGTGAAGAAGGGCATTTTCTTTTCTTTTTTTTTTGCTGAGAATTTCATTGCTGACAATTATCCATGCCTGGATCGAGAGGCCTTTCTTTCCTCTTATGGTATGTAAATGCAAATCTTTGGTAGTAATCTGAATATGAGTATACTGTCCATGACGCCTTTCATGATTCAAGAGGTCGTTCTCGTCTCTGAACCAAGAAAATGCACATCTTTCTTTGCCTTCGAATCAAGAGGTCTTTCATGACTATGAGTATACTACTATCCATAGTGTGTACTAGTAATCTGATTCTTGACCTCTTAAAGACAAAGCATCTTCGACAGTATACGAGCATGCTTATCTGCATCATCTTAGATGGTGCTGAATCAATTTTGATGTTGCAGTGTCTTGAAATCTAGTGAAAATCCCAAGTCATTGTCAAAATAGTAGTGCTTCATGACTGCAGGGTCGACAATTAAGCTTATGTAGACAGTAGACCATCCAATTTGCAGCTAGCGTCAATTTAAATTGTCAGGGCGCTCTTGGGGTTTTCAAATCACAATTATTCCAAGAGGAGGAAAAGGCAACTGCTCTCTTGTACTCGGGAATTGACATTGAGGTGGGGCTTGGAAAATTTGCTGCGCTCTCTTGTATAAAATGTTGAGAAGGCATGTACATTGCTGCTTCGAACTAGAATTATCCCT